TTAGTATAAACTTATTTATTTAAGAATTTAATATATATTTCACTTTATATTTATTACTGTATAAGAGTTTAAACAAACGCTATTTGTTTTTCATTGTTAATTAAATGTTTTGATGTAAGAAAATATTTACATTTACTCCTTATTTGTGTATAAAAAAAGAAATAATTTTTGAAAAAGTTTTTTGACATTCAGATCATTTAAGAATTATACATGATTGAGGAGTAGATTATAATTTTCTTTAGTTAATGTGTATCTTAGATTTTTTTTTTAAAAATACTGATTTTTCAGTATAGCTGACTTTTTTTGTTAACAGTTTCCCAATGTTCTACTTTTTGGAATGCTAACATTCTTAAATTCTAACAAACAGCTGTAATAAAACTATAGCCTACTTAATAACATAGATTATCATTAAAGGAATATATATGATAAAATATTGTTCAGAGGAAAAAAATTTAAGCTGTTTAGAATAATAATACATTGCAAAAGAAAATGATACGTGTATTCTTGTATGGTTGTATCGTCTTTAAACTTTTTCTACTCTTCTGTTTGTTTTTATTTGATTGACTTAATGGTAGGATATTTATTTTAAAAAGTGTTCTGGCAACAGAAATTTATATGAGGAAAACTAAAAGTTTATGCTTGTTTTAAAAAAAGGATTATTTCTAAAATTATTTGGCTGATTAAAGGATTTTGGCATTTCCACTTGAGATTAAATCAGAATGAAATGGCAATGATTCAATTTTTCATCAGAGTGACTTTTATTGGATTGATCTCATGTATGTTAATATTGCAATTTTCCAATTCCATTTTTGTGTATTAATATTTTTTATGTAAATTAATAAAAACTGAGTGGCTGAAAATAATTTTAATGGATGGTATACATATATGCATTATATATGTTCTTTTTAATTTTGCTATTTAAGTTCTAATTGTATTTTTATACAAGAATACACAATGGTGAATGTTACTTGTTGATTTTTAATTGTTTTTATTTTAATATTTTGAGCTTTTGTATATTTTATCTTTTAAAATCTAATACATTTTAGATCTACATTTTTTAAGTGAACTTGCATCTTTATTTTAAAGATTTTTTTTTCTTTATAGAGTACAAAAAATGGGTAATTTTTAAAATTATTTTGTGTTTGTAATGTGTTGGTAATAGTATTTTTTTTTTTTTTTGTATAATTTCTATTAATTGATATTGCCATATTCAGCGCCTGTTGTAAAAACTTTGTTTTTCTCAATCTAATTTTTTTTAATTAATGAAACTGTTTCTACTATTTGAAGTGATTTGATGTAAGCTGTTTAAAAAATACTGCAAAATGTTTTAAAGCATCTATGGTAATTTTCCAAGTAACTGTAACTGAGGGAACCTCAAGGAGCAATATGATACTTCTGCAAATATATTACTAATATAGCCTAGCTTTTCACCTTCAGTCAGATGCACTTTCTATTATCCTGCTAAATATTAATGACCATGGTTAGTTACCATGACACCCATTTTCTTACAAGTTTTTTCACATATTAATAATAACCTTAACACATCTCTGAAATAGATATTGGAAAAATTTGGTTAAATTGTTTGAAAGTTAAAGATATTATAAAAGTGTAATAGACTTTTTTTATGTATATATTGTACAGTTAGTTACTTTCTGTTTTTTCCCTCCTAATAACTTTAATTGGGATTCACACTAAGTGTGCTTTGTTCAAAGTATGGCATGATGTCTTTGGAATTGTTAATCCTATTTCATGATTCAATTTCCTCAATTGGATGCAGCTTAATTCTTTGTTCATTGCAAACTCAGTGTGAATCTAGTTATAATTGCAAAAAATTCTTAGTTATATATGAAATATGGTAGAAAAAATGCAAATTACTTTGTATATTTTGTAAAATAGCTGATTAGTTTGAATGATGTTTCTCCTGTTAATTTATTAAATAATTATGGGCCAACTATTAGATGTGAGTATTCTTTTTGTAATTTTGTATGTTAAAGTTTTCTCTAAATATATATATTTTTTTTTGGTTAAATTGATTTTTGCCATTGGTTCCTTTCTTGTCATTGTAATGAACTTTCATTTGGAATTGATATTTTCTGCACAAATATTCTAGTTTATGTAAATATTCAGTGAGTTTTTGGACTTTTGTATTGAAAATATATTTTTTCAAACTGTGAATTATTGTCAGAGTAAGTCAAGATGTGTGATAAAAGAGATATAAGAGTTTGAAAAGTGAATGTGCAAATGATATTTGTAAAACAATAATTATTTTGAAATTTGTGAAAATTGTGTAAGTTAAGAGGTAATCTATTGATGTAATTCGAATGGTTTTTATTATATGTATTTGAACTTATCAGACATTAGAGATTGTATCATTTAATAGTAATATATCCTGATTAATGTGTTTTAATGTTAATATTTAATAAAATGTAAAAAATAAAATATTAAATATATTCTTATGTACAAAAGTATTTAATTTCATTCCAAGAAAGTAAAGCATAAATAATTAATTGATAAAAATTTAAGTCATGTTTTAAAAATTTATAAATTCAGTATTAAATTTAAGTTAAATGTTACTTTTGGGGGAGGGGATTGATTTTATTATTTTGCAAAGTTTTAAAATTACTTATTTGTCTTCATTTTTATTTGGACTCTTAATCTCAAACATGTTTGAAGTGATAGTGTGTATAAATGTTTATTATTAATAACTACTTTGCTCTCTTTTTTTATAATGCGAAAAATAAAATACTTTGTTTTGTAAGTATATAAAAAAAATTAAATTTATTTATCTATTTTATGGAAAAAATAAAAGCTGTGTTACAAAAAATATTTTTAGCTTTGTATTTTTGATTTAAGTAAATTTTTATTGATAATTTTTCATGTAATTTTAGAAGTATTGTCTGAATAAGAGTTATTTAAAAACTATTAGCAAATTGAGTGAATTATATTTTTAGTTAATTTTTTTATAGCATTCAGTAAGTATCTTCTGCTATAATTAAAAAATTATACCTCAAAATTTTTGATTTTACAGAAACTAGTGGATAAAGGATTAAAATACATAAATATAGATTTTTGAGTTGAATTACTTGATACTTTAATGATGTAACTTTTTAAACTAAGAATTGAAATTCTAGAATTTAATATTTCAGATTAATTTTTATTTATGATAGATAAATTTCAAAATATTTTATGTCTGGTAATTTAAATTAATAAATTCTGTTTTGGAAGCTTAAGTTGATCTTTAAAATTCAAGATATCTATTTAAAATTATGCTTAAAAACTTTCTAATAAAAGTATTATCTTGCATTTTTTTTCACACTATATCAAATTGCACCATTTTTACTATTGTATTTTTTTTTATATTAAACATCCAATTGTATAATTTATAAATATATATATATATTGTCCCCGAGAAGTTTCCTATAAATTTTCTACCAAAATTATCAAAGAATGTTGTGGAAAAAAAAACTATTTCTCGAGAGAGTGTGTTTGTTATCGCCGATGCATTGTATTTCAGCTGTAAAATGAGAATAAATGTGTTATCTATATAATTTGTGCTGCTTTTTTCCTTGTTATTTTTTGAATTGTAACTTTATACATCAAACACGTACTTAATGTATGTTCATAGAATGTACATTAAGTATGTAAATACATCAGAAATAAGAAATTTTAAAAAAATTCTCAAAATCCTTCATTATACAGATATTTTTCGGTTTATGTTTATTACGATATTTATATATTCATTTGTGCTAAAGTTTAATGCTCATATGATCTAGGTATATTTCATGCAAGTTCTCCTTAAGTTTCCATTTACCAGTCATTTTAAAGTAGCGTATTTCTAACCTTGTGGATTTCTAGTAATCTTCTCAAATCTAGATTATTGTATTTATTTGAATGCAGTAAACTACATTTGAAAGAATAAAAAAAAAAGAAGGAATGATAGTTTCTAGCTGTTAAGTTCCTTACCTGTTGGCACAGTGGCTTAGAAGTTTTCTGAATGAGAGAAAATTGTAAGCACGCATGTCATGATTATGTGGCATGTAAAAGATCCCTTGAGTATCAATTTGACTCTGATGCTCTCAGTAAAATTAAATCACTGAATTATTTAGCATCTGACAAAAAGCTTGAATTAAAATTAATTCAAGCATAGTGAGAACCAGCTCAAGATGGTGCCACCATGGAATGGCTTTTGCATTTAGGGATTTGTGGTGTCTGCAAAGGCTTAGCTGCCAGTATGCAGCCCATTAGGAGAAAAAAAGTTTCTTCCAGTATGAGAGTATTTATTATTATTGTTAAAAAATTCCAGTGAATCTCATTTTTTAAACTTTTTCTATCTGAATGCATAAAGTAATTGCTAACAATTCTCTCAATTCGATAACGTAAATGAAAAATTTCGTAGCACTAATATTAATAAATTCAAGGGGATGGTAGAATTTAACCATTTAACTGAAAAATAAATATTCATTGCCGTTTTTAAAATTAAGCTTAAATGATGGAGACTTAAACTCAATAGTGAAATACATAATTTATTTTTTAATTCAAAAAAAAAATTCTGCAATTATAATTCTTAGAGCTGTCTTCATTAAGTACAAATGAGCACAAACTAAAAATTCGGTACATATTTCCTGGAAGAAATGCGTTCTAATATTCATAAAAATTCGCAACATTAGAATTTATACTCTTTATATACTCTTATTATGTTCTTTATAATACCGTGGTCTTGAGATTCGAAAAAATTCCATAAAGAAGCAGTTTTTTTTATGAGAATTTTTAAATGTGATAACTAGTTAAAAAGAAGACAGCTGTTTTTTTTATCCTGGAATACATATAAAATACACAAGGGGAAGAAGAACAGAAACATACACAATAAAACAGAAGAATATAGACATTAATTACAAATGATGATCCCAGCATATAACAGAAGGGGTGCGCTGCTTTCCATTCGAGACGGGAATCCATCGCAGGCGAAAGAGTCTGACTTCTTTTCCCTGAAGATACAACCATGCCTTACTCGATATTCGAACCCGAATCCACTCGGTTACAAACCGAGAGTCATATCCGCCATACTGGCCGGGCGGTTAAGATAGATGTTAAAGACAAGATATGAAATACTTTTTCGTACTTGGGAGAAAATGTATGGCAAAAATCTAATATGAGATGTATAGTAAAATATGGTACTCTCTATAACAGTGGTACTCCAAGTGATACATAAGGGCACGCCAAAGAAGTAGAACCATGATCACTTTCGTGTGATGGTGTAACTTGAGTGCGATGTTTTTTATTGGCTGTGTGATTTTACGGGAGTCTGAGATGCTCAGCATCATAAATACGCTGGCCTTAGAGAGCACAAAGACATGTCGTATCATGTAAAACTTATAATTGTTTTCGTCTTGAAGGTACACAATCAAAACAGTTTGGAGATTGCTGCTCTATTGTCTGAGGAAGTCAGAATATAACATTGATCCAAAAGCCATTTATTTCATCCTCATTTTGTCATTTGATTGTGAAAGTAAGTTCGGTACTTAACCATTCAGCGGCGCATGCGGTCAAAGTCACCAAAGGTTATACTACCGACCCCAAACGGAATATTCTCGCTGGTAACCTTTTACCGCCCCATTTCAAAACAAGTCGCGGTATATTCAAAAAAACTTTAAATGATATCAAAATGTTTAAGCCTCTGAAGTTAAAAATTCTTCGAACTAACAATTTTCGAATTAACAATATAACAACACTCAATACTGTGAGTTGTGTCGCCAATAAAGCCTTCATGGCTAGATTTGCGCTGGTGAAATGGAAAAGTATCTTTAATTATTCTGTTACCTGGTTTCATTCTAACACGTATATTTTCTACATTTCTCTGAATTAAAATTTAATTACGTCTTATTTAATTCTTTTATCGTCATAGTGTTGAAATTCAGATATCTGTTGATTCTTTGAACGTTTTCCTAACTAATTAATTTAGAGGCAACACGAAGGCGTTTAGTGATGAGCTTCGTAATTAACGATCTCATTAAAATGACGAAGATCGTATCAGAGGTACCACTGCACTCACACACAATGCGCCAGAAGGGAAGATCAAAATTACACGTGCCAGACTCGCTTCACGATGGTTTTGTTTATTGAATTGAGTCCCATTCAAGATATGAGAATGATGCCATAGTTGTCACGCTGCCCTAAAATTGAAGATCAAAATTAACATGCGACGGTCTCTTTACACGATGCTTTGTTTATTGAAGGACTACTACTACTGTTATTTACACTTCCGGGAGCCTTTTACTGCTCATTTTAAAGGTACCTTGACTAGGATAGATATTGTAAATTTGAGCTGTACTTAGATGGTGAATTCGATACCAAACCTGTGGCTGTAGTAGCCAAGTGGTCATAATCTCGTGACCGGCGTTGTCAAGTCTTGGATTTTAGACCTGGTACCACTGATGTCCTCTGGTGTAGAGTGATTGATGCTTGCTATTTCTGTCGAGTTTCGAAGTGCTTACGTTGGTGTGTCTGGAAGTTTAGAGAGTGGGGTTCCAGTTCAGGTGTCATCTTCGTCCCTTGACCGAGAAGCTGCATGTAAAGGTGGTTGTTTTCTAGGGGATAAGTTTGTAATTCTAACCCCTTTTGGGTGAACTCGGATCCTTTTGGTATTCCACCAAAAGACCTAATAGGCATTGAGTGTTTATTTAAGTCACATTTAAAGCAACAAGAGGGCTACCAGAAAATGACCTTAATTTTGAGCCGCTGTCAAGTGACGAGGATAATAGATAGCTGAGCTGCTCTATCCCATTCTCCCAACATGAGGTTAGAGCTGTGACAAAATAGAGTGCACACAAGATAAGCTCGAATCTATACGGATTATCTTCTGTAACATCAGAACTCGAACCGAGGATTTGACAACGCCAGCCACGAACTGGTGACCACGACCAATAAGCTACTGTGGTGCCAATAGTCATAGAGTACCTTCAAAGTACGAAGTTAAAAATAAATGAAATCAAATGGACACCCAGCACTGGAGTAGCTAGCTCTCAGGGGGCCCTGTATCAAAATTCCTTCATGGTCCTTTTTTAGATATAGGAGCCCTGTTAGTTGACTGTAGTTACATATGTTGGGGCCCCTGTAGTTTGGGGGCCCCGTATCATTAATACGGCTGATACAGCGGTAGCTAAGCCCCTGTCTGATCCGTATCTACGCCACAGTCTGGCACTCCGTATTAGAATTAACGTACATCCAGTACCTCTATTCGATGAATCCTTGGTGGAATCAGGATTCAAACAAGCGACTCGATTGAAATATCACTGGCCAAGAAATCACGATCATGAACTTTCAGTCACTGTGACTATATGGTTCATAAGTCTTCAGGAATGCGAAGATTCAGATCTGTTACACATTCGTTAAAAATTCTTTACTCTAACAACCAGGCTACCATAATCTTATTGGAATTTGTTAAAGTTCGATGCTAACTCAGATGTTACTTTCTTAATTGCTAGATCAGTCGTCAAAAACCTTCTTTCTCTAGTGCAACGCTAATTAAAACTCATTTATTCATGACTGAGGAGAAAATAAGGCTGAGATAAATTGGTGAATTAAGTTCTGAGTTTCGTAAAAGATATTATTGTGGGTTGAAACTCTGTCTTTACTAAAGTTCTTGTATTATATTAGCCATTGTGATGAGCAGGGACGTCTTAAGGCATGTGCCAACTGAGCCCAGGATCTCGTCTCGTTCTCGACTCAGCCGTAAGAGGATCATGATTTGAATAATTTCAAAAGTCAAATGTTATTTCCGGTTGTATTCTCCTAAAAACTGGTAATTTCAGACTGATATGTCAACTGGCTACATGGGTTGATCGTCGTCCATGGACAGGCCTAGGCTTACCACAGTACACCATCATTACTCATTTAGTCAAAAGGTGAAAGTCGGTCGAGCTGGTATGTGCGATTGTAAATCATGCACATTTATTTGTTTCAGGTTAATGTTTGTACGAGTATTCTATGTATTATTTGCTTTTAAGGATCATAGGTGGGGCCTACATTAGTGCAGAAGCTCAGGGTCTACTTTTGAGTAGGGGCCTATGGCTTCAAGCAGTCTTAAGACGTCCCTGGTGATGAGATCCATTGCGCACTAAATTGAATTTAGTTACAAATCCACTGGGTGAATATATATGTGAGGGAGGTGCGACCTTGGATTCAACCTTGGGATCAGAATGTGACACGAAATCTATCATTTGCAACAATCTGGTCCGTACCGATGGGTAGAGGGTTTAGATGTTATATTTCGAAAAACCATCGTGTGTATGCAACATGACAACACGGTTGATGCTCATTATACATTTGGTGAAAATCAAAATCCTATTATTGGTGGTGAGGTTTTGGGCTCTGATTTCGACCTCGTCTTGTAACCGGATTCAAAATAACGAGGAGAATCGGCTGGGATTGGTGAACATTTTATTGGGCAGAAATAGTCAGCCTCTTCAGCGCTGAATACATACTTCATATCTTCTTTATTTCAATCCGATTTGTATGCATTCTGCAAATGACAGATGAATATCGGGAGAACGCTAAGCCGATTAGAAAGTATGTTTGTTAAGAATGATATGAACAAGAAGTTTCCTGTGCATTCTCCTGCTTGAAATGGGTACGAATCGAAATATGGAAAGTCGGAAACATACCAGGTAAGTTCTAAATATTTCTATAGCGATTGGAAGATATTACAAAGAATAAACCACTGACGAATGTAAGAAGCTTACTTGCTTCATTTTGGAAAAATACTGAACGCATTTGAATTTTTTCCTCGATTTTTTTATGTACTTTTGTTTAGTAAGATATTTGTAGATATATCGAGATGTTGTTATAAGATTACACTGTTGATGTTTTAAAAAATGGCTTTCTGGTTTAAAAAAAAAAAAAACTACCAATTTTCAAGCTTCAATGGATGTCAAGTTCGTTTTTTTTTAACCAAGAAGTTGAGTGAAACAAGACGAAAAATTTATTTTACTGAGTATTACTGAAGGTTTATAAGCTTCAGTAATTGTACCACGCTTATCCTATATATATATTTCTCTATAACCTTCCAGAAAATATTTTTGAAACAACGTGGGCTTTGTTTATTTACATTGTACTAGACCTCCACCTTTGAAATTTTTTTACTTTTCTGATACTTTGTCTTTTTGTTTCTGTATCTATGAGAGTATTGGAAACTATTTTATGAAAATCACTCCATTACAAACAAAATTTAAATTCTACAAGGACTTTGGAAATGACACTTTAGAAAAGAAAAATTAAATATGACTATAATTCATTGGATCTGCGAGTAATTCATTAATTATTCAATATATAATCTTAATTGACTGGAATGTTTATTTCTTATGAACAATTGTATTTTCCTTGAAGGACAAGCGAAAACTTTAAAAAGTCACTTTGATATTTCTGTAATTATTATATAACCTACAATATATACTTCATTGGTCAAATTATGGTTGAGAATTCCTAGTTGAGATGACAAGCGATTCGTGGTTCGAATCTAGGTTCAACCACGAGTACCGTACTAAATGAAATATGGTTGAATTCAACTGCATATATTAATATTAATACGTCACCAATAATTCTAAAGCTCCACTAGAATAAAATTTTAATACCTTAACAGTATGTAAACTAATTATTTCTGCGGGATAAAACAATAAAAGGTTAAATTAATATATCGCGATATGCTCTTCCAAATTTAAAATCAATTTGAGCAGTTTTCTTAACCTAAAGCTTTTTGACGCTCTGTGCTTAAGAATACCAGTGTTTATAAATAAAATGATTTAGGAAATTTTTTAAAAGCTCATTAAAAGCCCTTTAAAATAACTTGAATTTCGAAATGAATGAACACAAACCTCAAGTAAACACTTTTTTTTCATTCTTTGTCTGTCAAGGCCGAGATAGCCAGTGGTCAAGATCATGGCCTCGGGGCTGACGTGTCATGAGTTCGAGCTTAGTGCCACTAAAGATCCTCCATGTATATGGGCAGGGACGCCCCAAGACTCTTAGAGGCCCTGGGCCCAGAGAAATCTTAAGAATTTCCGAGGTCCTGGCCCCCTGTG